TTTTTAAAGAGGGGGACAATGATAAGCCAAGGAGGTCCGCACGTATGCCCATTAAGAACTCGATGTACTTGAGCTAAATGCATAGGTTCGCATGAAAGTACATGGGACATGTAAGTTGTGGACGTGGACCAAGTGGATATTCCGGAATTATAGATTTGCATATCATGGCTTAAAACTAGCAAGTATTTGTTATTTATGTTATCCGAGTCAAGTTAGTTGTTATTTGGACTTCCATAGGATTCGGTCAATAAGTTAGAGGGATTGTTGGCTATTAGCCGTTTATTTTCCTTCGTTTAGCAAAGTAGTTGAGTCCTTAATATATTTAAATACCCCGAGTTAGCGAGTAAAAGGGTTATTGGAATTCTAATAAAATTGCATGGTTTATTCTCACCTTAAATAGAATACCTTCTTTTACAAATCTCTAGCTTTAATTGGGACCAAGTATATACTAATCTATCTATCAAGAAAAACAACCAACCTCAACCATAAAGAGACTAGTAATATAAACCAAAGACTCGAACCAAATTTAAAAGGGAACCAAGAAAGTGCTTTAAGTGTGGGGACATGTACTTTTTAAGACATCGGTGTAATCGAAGCAACTACTACATATGATGCTAGAGGAGATAAAGTAAATGCGAATATCTAAATAGTGATATTATGAAAGAGGAGCGAGTGTGTAACCGAAGAGGAGATTATAGCTAAATTGGATAGTAGCATCTCCATACATGCCTTGAGTGGTAAGGTTTCCCTAATGCTTTTAAAATCAAGGGTGTGTGGGAAAGAGAAGTATTAGCATCTTGATTGATAGTGGGAGCAACAATAATTTTATACACAAAGGATTAGTAGAAGACTTAAAATTATCTATCGTGCAAACCACTCCATTGATAGTGATAATGGCTAATGGGGTTAGAGTGAAAAGTGAGTCTAGATGTAGGAAATTTCATTAAGTAATGTAAGGTAGAGACTATACTACTCGATTTAGTAATATTAAAGCTATAAGGGTATGATGTGGTACTCGGGCTTAGATTGGATGGAGCACTTTGACCGTATACACTTTGACCTTAAAAACCAAGAAGTGACTATACACCAGGGAGTGAAAAATATGGCTTTAAAAGCTAAAAAAAAAGGATGGGTCCTACGACTTATTAAAAGCAAAAGGAATACAAGAGCTATTTAAGAAAGGGTTGAAAGAGGTCATAGGACACATGTTCATAATGGTCGGTGAGGAAATTACGGAAGGTGTATATCCAAACCTCGTCTTCCCTCTTAGAGGACTACGATGATGTTTTTGATGAACCAAAGTAGCTACCACCATATAGGGCTTTAGACCATACCATTCCCCTAAAACCAAACACCAAAATACTACGGTTAAAACCCTAAAGATATCCTTATTTTCAAGAAACGAAATGAAAAAATTAGTAAAAGACATGTTGTAAACTTCTCTAATCTAGCCTAGCCACTCTTCCTTTGCCTCGCTAGTATTATTAGTTAAAAAGAAGGATGGTTTTTAGAGATTTTGTGTTAATTATAGAGGACTAAATGACATCACTATAAAGGATAAATTTCCTATTCCCTTAGTGGAAGACTTGACGGATGAGCTAAATTATGCGGTAATTTTTTCTAAAATTGATCTAAGGTTGGGTTATCATTAGATCGGGATGGTGGAAGAAGACATTCCAAACATAGCCTATATAACCCACCATGGTCATTATGAGTTCGGGGTGATGCCATTTAGGCTCACTAATGCACCAACGACATTTCAAACCTTCATGAATTAGGTATTTGCTGAATTCCTAAGGAGAGAGTTTTTTTATGACATTTTCGATGATAGTGACGAGTTTGGAGGAGCATTTAGTTCTTCAACGGGGTATGCTATAAATATTAAGACAACATTAGTTATTTACTAAAAGGTTTAAGTGTTCCTTCATAGTGGATAAGGTGGAATATTTGAGGCATATTATTACAAGTGAAGGGGTGGCGAAGGATCCATCTAAGGTTAAGGCCATGAAGGAATAGTCACTTTTGGCTAACCTCAAATCACTTAAGAGCTTCCTAGGACTCACTCGGTTACTATAGGAAGTTTATAAAAAACATTATGAGAATTTCAACTGACCATTGACCAACCTACTAAAAAAGGATGCCTTTAAATGGAATGAGGAGGCTACACAAGCTTTTGTTCGGCTTTAAAGAAGCTATGTGTTCAGCTCTAGTGCTAACATTACCCAACTTTAAGGAGCCATTTATTTTGGAGACAAACGCATGTGACACTAGAATAGGAGATGCTTCAATACAGGGGAAGAGACCTATAGCTTATTTGAGCAAGGCTTTCAGTTTAAAAAATCAAGGCCTATCTACTTAAGAGAAGGAACTGCTAGCTATCTTAATCGTTGTTGATAAATAGAGGCACTATTTGGAAGCTAACACTTTTATTATTAGAACTAACCACTATAACCTTAAATCCCCCTTACAACGTAAATTACACACGTAATTACAAAAGAAAAGTCTCACCAAAATACTAGGACTCAATTATAAAATAGCCTATAAGAAAAGGAGAGAAAACAATACAATAGATACCTTATCTAGGCCGCATCATATTGATCACAACGCTGTAGAACTGGGGCAATCATGGTGTTGGAAACATAATGATTAGAAGAAGTTAAGCACAACTATAGCAAGGATTCCACGACCCAAAATCTAATTGAAACAAACCTATAGCAATAAGAATTACCACCTCGTTATACTTATACTAAGGGTTTGTTAAGATTTAAGGGAAAGTCTGTATATTAGGAGTACAGGGGAACTCAAGAGGAAATTCATAACTGAATTGCACTCACCTCCCGGTGGAGGGCACTCGGGATTCAAAGCTACCTACTATCAAGCCGGACATCTATTTTATCGGCTAGGATTGAAATAGGATATCAAAAAAGAGATGTTGGAATATGATGTTTATTAGAGATGCAAAGCCGAGAATGTCCCTTACCCGAGTTTACTACAACCTTTACTAGTACCCAAGAAAGCTTAGAAGCATTTGAGCATGGACTTCATTAAAGGGTTACCACCCTCGGAAGATAAGTACACTATCATAGTAGTAGTGGCTAAGTTCACTCGGTATAGTCACTATATTGCTCTATCTCACCCCTATACGAGTTGTTATAGTGAACAAACATTTTCTTTGGCATGTATAAAAACTACATGGGTCTGCTAAAGACTATAATCATAGATAGAGACCCGACCTTTACTAGCCCTTTTTGGTAAGAACTCTTTACACTTGTTGGGAACTAACCTACTAATAAGCATAGTGCTCTTGAAACAATTGGCAAAGGATAAAGTTATCCATCAACGGGTCATGCCCATTTTTTGGCTCTACCAATAATTACAATATCATATGGGAGAACCAATTCGACGGACTCGGAAAGGAGATCATATGGCTGGTCCGTGAAGAATAATTAAGGTAGGATTAGCATCCTTCCTCAACGACTCAAAGTTTAGCCTCTTCAAACCGGACTCTCTCTTTTAAGCTTTTAAGATTCAACAACCCCCATCACCCATAAACCGATGGGCAAATTGAAAGAGTAAATCAATGTCTTGAAAATTATGTCGGATGCATGACCTTTCATAGGCTAAGAAAATGGAGTAACTAGCTTTATTTGGTCGAATGGTGGTATAACACAACCTACCATATCTTCTTGAAGACGACATCTAACAAATCCCTTTACTGATTCAAACCCCCAATCCACTTAGTCGTACTATAGAGAGCTCCTAATGTGGTCGCCATGGAGTCATATGTGTAAGAATGAGAAGAAATGTTGAGGTTAATCATGCAATAATTAATGGTCTCCCGAGGAGAGAATGAAAAATAAAGCAAATAAAAGGAGATTAGAAAGGGTTTTTGAAGAAGGAGACATAATTTACTTGAAATTGTAGCCCTACAAGCAATCCTCTATAGCAACATGAATGAATCAAAAATTGAGTGCTCGGTTTTATGGCCCTTACAAAATTTTGAAAAAAATTGAGGAGGTAGCTTATCACTTGGAATTACTAGAAGGAAGTTCAATACAACTAGTTTTTCATGTGTCGTTGCTAAAGAAGAAAATTAGGTATAAGCAAAATCCTATTACTTCCTTACCACCTACCGTCAATTGCCTTTTTGAGGGAGTTGAGCCAAAGAAAGTGTTAGATCGGAGGATATAAAAGGGAACTAGGCAAGTGTTGAGTGGCTAATTTTGTGGAAAGGTTCGGGGGTGGAGAACTCAACTTAGGAAGATGCTAACTTCATCTCGTAACAATTTTTGGAGTTTCATCCTTGAGGACAAGGATGACTCTAAGGAGGGTGGAATGTCATGGACCCAAACGACAAGAAGAGACTAAAGAGCCGTCGTTCACTTATTTTGGGTGTAGTTCAAATAATTGTAAAAGCCGGGAGGGATATTATTGTCTATCACACATAGCAATTTATTTTGTTTTTACTTTCGTTACATGCTCCAAGTGGAGCAGAGTCGATTATGCGATTAGCGCAAGAGGAATATTGATTCCTTAAATTCAGTGCCATTGTAATCATCCACATCTCAAAAAATTAAAAAACTATCATTCTCTCTCAAATTCTCTCTATCTTCTCTCTGTTCTGCATTTCTTCCTCATTCTAAAGTTCTTCCTCATTCTGCCTCATTTCTCTTCTTCAATCTTCTTAAAATTCCCCATTCAATCTGGTCTCCGACAAATATATATGATCTTCATAGAATCATAAATTCATGATCATAACTAAATGGTAGCAACAAAAAGTTGCGTAACTATAGTTCACATAGAAAGCTAAACGTTGATATTTAGTATATATGAATACCAAAAAGCTCCAAATATGTCCCATCTTTATTAAAGGAAAGATGAAGTTTTGCTCGTGTTTAAAAATATGGACTCAGGATTGGGTGGTTAAAGACCATAGACTGATGTGGAGGAGGATCCAATCCATGATTTATTGGATGAAGAAACGAGGTCTTCGCTGCCGCTTAAATTCTGGTATAGGACCTGCTGATAGTGATCTTTGAGATGTTTGAGCTGTAATTTATCACCATAATGCTAGGATCTGAGATCACCTCCTGGTCAAGCATGCTCACCACTCCTGACATTGTAGGCCTTAGAGAAGGAGATGCATTGGTGCATAAGAGAGCCACTTTGATCATCCTTTCAGCCTCTTTCTGGTTGAATTCAGAATGCAGCTTTGGGCCCATTATCTCCATTAAATTTCCTTTTTTTGAAATACAAATGCCTATGACAGCGGAAAATAAATAAAATATTTGAAGAGAGTAATGCCTAATGCATCACGAATTCAAGATAGCAACACGAACAGACTTGGTAAGTTGTAAGATACCCAGTCAAGAAGACAAGCATATTCGTTTGTTGGCCTGTAACTTGAATTGCTTCTTCCACTGACAATTTCTAAAGCAACAACCCCAAAACTATAAACATCTGCTTTCTCTGTTAAATAACCCCACAGTGCATATTCTGGAGCCATATATCCTCTGAAATCAAAATGCATGTCAGATGAGTTCCTTCAGAGTGCGTAAGGTCTTTTACAACAAATAAATCATTAGAAAACTAAAATCAGATACTTACACAGTTCCAGCAACTCGAGTGCTAATGTGAGTGTTCTCCTCCTCGTTGAGCTTAGCTAGTCCAAAGTCTGATATCTTGGCATTTAGATCCTTGTCCAGCAAGACATTTGTACCTTTGATGTCTCTATGAACGATCCTGATTGTTGATTCTTCATGGAGAAATGCTAAACCTCTGGCTATTCCAGCACATATCTTATATCTGGTTGGCCAATCCAACATCAAAGCACTTGTTTCTGAACCTGTAGCTAATCCAATAAAAGAGGTTTGCTAACTAAAATGCTTTCATTTGTGCTGGTTTAGTATTTAAAAAAATAAAAAATGATTGAAAGTTATCAAAGCCATTATGTTTACCGAAAAGTGGACGAGCAAGGGAATTGTTTTCCATGTACTCATATACAAGCAGTAACTGATCTCCTTCAATGCAACATCCATAAAGCTTTACGAGATTGGGATGCTGTAAACCAGATATCATGCCTATTTCATTCACAAATTCGCGATTTCCTTGCCTGGATTTTGGAGATAGCTGCTTAACAGCAATAACAATACCTTCTGATAGTTCACCCTGAAGTTTTCGCAAACATTTTGCATAATCATGCATCTAACACTAATATTTAGGCAGAGATTCAAATAAAAGGTCTAATAATCAATTGGGATAATATGCAAGAAACCATAAGATGATAGACCTTATATACAGACCCAAAACCACCTTCTCCAATTTTGTTTGCAGAATCAAAATTGTTAGTGGCAGCTCTTAGCTGCCTCAAAGTGAAGGAACCAGTTTTCAGATCTAGCCCCTTCAGATCTGCACATAATTGTAAGTGACATTATAAACTGTAAGGCTTCAACATCATAAATGCATGTGATATATACTAGATGTGTGTGTAAATGTGTGTGCACATGCTTGCTGGAGTGTGTATTAACTAATAATTAACTAATTAAGCAAATGACTTGATAACAAATGATTGATTTTAACGTACCTCTTTCTCTCATGTGCTTGTCTCGAAAATAGAATTTCCAACAAATGACACCAATTACCAAGAAGACAAGGAATAATACTGGAGTGACAACTTCAGCCACAATAAGTATTTTACTTGCTTCTTCAGATTCTGAAATTAATTAAAGCCACACATACAAAATTAGAAAGCTAAACATCCAATCAATGGGATAATAAACATTAATATCCTCTATGGATATGGAATCACTGGCACAGTTCACTTCTCACCTTGACATTGAGTTCTCCGACCTGAAAACCACAAACCATAAAATGGTTCTTAGATGGTATAATGAAGTGAGTAGAAACAGTTACGATCAAAATCAAAGCCAGGCTCATAAGGAAGAATTAGTTTATTAGATGGAGAAACATTAGAGTTCGTTGATTTTTCTAAATGAAGTAAAAATAATGTGCTTAATCTTTCTACGGTTGTAATCCTAGTTTTAATCCACATTCAATAAGAGCTATGACATAACCTACTATTTATGTGCGTGTAACTCGATTCCAGAGACAGAAACTGAACTGACAATTAAGAATTATTTTGTGAAGTCTGTAATTCTCAAATGAGAGGCTGAAAAATAATATACCACATACCTGAACATACAGATATAGAAGAAATTATAGGACCATAATTTCCTCTACTTGGAATGCAAGCAGTCCCTCTTCCAGCCCAGTATAAACGGATCTCCAAGGTATTGTCTGTCACAGAGGCATTGAATATTGCTTTTTGCTTTGGTCAAGGGACTGTTAGATCTATTAGCTGCATCCTTACTATTAAAATCTTCTCTCTAGGTTCGCCTGGAACGAAATTTCCGAGTTAAAGGGATCATTTGGGGGAACAAACACACATCAAAAAACAAAGAAAGTAAGTAAATGTGAACTAAAAAAAATATTCATCTTTTTGGATAACGTAATCTTAATTACCTGAATATAAATGTCAAAAAAGCGCTTTCCAACTCTGTAGTACAATTTGTCATCTGTGAATTGTATCTCAGCAAAGTGAAGTATAACAGTGTAATTCCCATTTTCCAGACAATATCCATAATAAGTGAGAGATGGGAGCTCTACGTGCTGTAGAATACAATTGAAGTTCCTCCATTGAGAGACCAGGGTGTGAATATGCAAGTGTATATACTCTGTTTTTAATAGAACCATCCATGAAATCTCCTGTGCTGCTGAATCCCCAGTTTGATCCAGATCTGTAACAAATCTTTGCAGCACCACCTTCAACATTTTGGTCACCTTCATAAGGGATTCTCCCATACTTTACATCCTGTCCACCACAATTTACATGGAATGGATCATTACCTGCAATACATCAAATTAGTACACCATTAGAACTGTTGCAAATTTTCTGTCCACCACAAAGTAGAATGTATAAGGCTTCTTTTTGTAAAGAATTTCATGACTTCTCATTTAAAGAGAAAAGGGGAAAAACGTACTTTTGGAGCACTGATATATGTGTGAGCAAGGAAGAAGTCCGCTTCTGTAAGACATTGAAATTGCAGTATGTTAAAATAACAAATGGTTCAGCAGACCGCAATATAAGACTCACATATCAAAACCATGCCTCAAGAATTAGCATTGTTTCGTGCCAAAAAAAATCATTATATTCGCCGTGTTTGCTCATTGAGAAAATTGATGCATAGGCTTTCCCATTTGGATTTTTGCTAAGCATCTACAAGATTCATATAACACCTTATTTCAACTTCGATTTCTGTTAAGCATCTACAAGATCCAAGAATTAGTCGAAAGCCAAGCACAAACCCAAATTTCAACTTGGATTTCTGATAAGCATCTAAGAGACTCATATATGCATGCATATATACACCTCTTTTATGTCCTATCGTATTTTTTCCATAGAAAGAGATTATTGACCTTAATATGGCGACTACAGATTGGATCTCAAAAACATCACACTCCAGAGAGTATAAGAAAGCCTTACAAGTTATTTTTGATGGATGAGCTCCGATACGTGTTTATATCACTGGTTTATAGATTCAAATCATTAAGTTTCTCATAAATCAGGAGTATCCCAAATAAAAAATCATAAATATCCTTACAGGGCATCTGTGCTGCTTGATGGCCATGAAAAGCTGTTGTAGGAAATGTCACTACAAGAAGCCAATAGAATCATAAATTTTAATATAAACTTCCACAAAGTTACTAACGAATAGAACAAATTAAATGCTAATGGCTTGAACTATCAAATTATTCAGAGCACGATAATAAAAATCACGGAAACATTAGAAACTAAATAGCTTTCATATATGAGCTACTGGGGATAGTTAAAAATGCCTATGTCATGAATAAGTACGTGCATATTAGTAGCCTTAGATTGTCAAGATTCACTAAGAGAATTTCATAAGCCTACTTTCAAATATTGATGGTTGCTCAATTATCAGCAGTTATAACCTTTGAAAAGAAAAAATACGTTGAACATCATATCTAAAATGAAACCCAGTGATAAATTTAAGAACATACAGATATTTGCTTCCTTCGATAAGCAAGTGTGGGACAGTTCCATTGAGCACGTTGCCACTCAAAAACCTGGTAATTAAGACGCCATGTTGATCCTTTAGCATTGTTTACTGTACAATCCAGGTCAGGTCTCAACATTCTGATTTCAAATCATCATATTTAAATAACTTACATAAATTCACGCATTGTTGTGTCTGGAGGAATTTGCCCTTCCAACTTGTTGAAAGTTAAATCCCTGTAAAAGATTACAGTAACAAAGATTTTCAGGTTTCAGTTTTCAGCGAATATCTCTTGCACCTTTGTAAGTAGAATTCCAAAAAACAAGTAGGAACTTTTACCCGATGCAAGAACTTGGATGTCATTCTGATTCAGGGTTAAACAAAAAATGAGGTTAAATGTCAAGGATGTAGAAGTGTTTTGAATTTTTGGAAGAAGTTTAGAAATGAGGCAGAGGCCTATTGGCACACCAAAAAGTCTTAAACCACACAGAATTTTAATATTTTTGTAATCCAAGAAGACAAAATGATTCAGCAATTTCTTTCGAACTAATTAAATAACAAAGACAGTGCTTGAACTTCAGAGATGATATCCCAGATCACACATAACAGAATTTGATGAAATGGAAGGCCAATAATTAAGTGAATCCAGTAGACTACTTGTAGCACTTTAGCCCAGGTTCTGAAAAATATTGTTCATGAATAAGCGCTTATAGTAGATTCAGGTTGAGAAGAGCATTTGGTTCAGACTGTTGATTCAATCAAACTGAGCTCCCTCAACTTCCTGCTAGGCACCTATATCTATGGGCTTAGCTTGGCTAATCGAACCACTCTAATGCCATGTGTCTCGTAGTAGATGGTCCATGTATTCAAATCTCAAACCCATCAGCACATATAAGGTGATGAGTGTGAAGGTTAGACTTGCAGCATTTTCTGAGGAACTGATTTCCATACATCGGTTGGGATCACTCCAGCTAAGTTGATGTTTCTCAAAACCCTTCCAAGAAATTAAAGATAGGTTTAATTAGTTCTCAATAGAGCATGTTCTCATGTTTATTCTAAACATCTTATGAGAAACTGGACAGTTGACATACAAATTTTTCTTTTTTGTGGACAATTGGGTAAATGAAACGCTGGTCCAGGCATATCAGTAATCCTCCTGTACATTAAAAAAGACACAATGAATAAAAGAAAAAAAATGAATGGCCCCTTCCATTCCCTCATTCTTTCTGTTTTCGTCAGAGAGGAAACACCAGATGTTATTGTATTTGTTGCTGTGCATCTCAAGAAAGTAATTTTACTTACAAATCTGTCAAGTTCTCTAAAGAAACAATGGCGGGAGGTATAGGTCCTTCTAGTCCGCTTGCATATAATTCACTCCATTAGTCCAAAGAGAAAATTTAAACTATCAGAAATATTGGGCAACATATTGCAGAGAAATGAAATGAAATGAAAATCTCATTGAGATAAAGATCTTCAGAGTCTTTCAAGACGAATCCAATTCCCAATGAACTCAGGTATGCTGCCCCTAAGATTATTATCACTTGCACGACTGCATATTGCAAAATCAAATTTTAGAAACTAGACGCTGTTCAATTATCAAAAACTGTGTTTAATGAAGAAAGGAAGAAATTACTTACAAATCCTTCAAGTATTTTAGCTGTGCGAGCTTATTTCAAGTATTTTAGCTGTGCGAGCTTATTTGGCAACTTTCCCTCCAACTGATTGGAGGAAATTATCCTGCAACCATTAATTCATAGTTCTGATGACAAAGATCGTTAGAGACTATTATAAATTATATTATGGAGCGTCATTTATCAATTTAAGCTTTTAGATGAGATGGTCCTTTAATATGGTATCGGAGGTTGGCTGACCAAAAGGTCCCGAGTTCAAGTCTCTTCATCCTCAATTTAGGGCTTTCACTTGAAGGAGTGTGGTAGAGACTTATTCTGGGATCTCAACTATCAGCTTATGCTTTTAGGTGAGATGATCATTTAATAAAGACTACAGCTAAAATATCTAGCAAGTGTTATTTTAATAATGTCTTACAGGAATGTTAAGTTGACAAGATCACCGAGCTGAGCAGGAACGGTACTGGAAACTGATTTGCTTCAAGGCTTCTTCATTTATTTGTATTTGATTAATTGACACCACATTAGAGAAAAGTAAAATAGCACTGTCACAGGATGAAAAAAAAAAAAAAAAGATAAATCAAGCTATAGGCAGAAAATATGTGCATGACTTCAAGACATACAAGGAAGTGAGAATAAGAAAACTTCCCAAGCACGGAGGAATATTTCCTGACAAGCGATTGGCAGAAAGTGAGCTGCATGCATAAAATGTTTGCTAATTATGTTAAATTCTGTCTTGTGTACAAAGGTAAACCAAGATGAGGTGAATGAACTTACAGATTTGTCAAATATTTCATTGAAGCCCATTCCACAGGAATTGTGCCAGAAATATAGTTGCGAGTTAGGTCACTGTAACAGAGAATATAGTGGTTTAGCATCAATAATTAAAAATTGAACTTCGTCAACTTAAAAGGATGTCAATTCGACCAAGGCCGTGGAGAACAAACCTTGCTTGTTGAAGGTGATATTGTAGGTTTTTGTTAAAATATGTAGGTTTTTGTTAAAATAAGTATTTTGTTTAAGTATCTTATGCTCACTATGTGTATGGCAACTTGATAATTACACGTATAGAAGGGTCTTTAAGACAGAATAGCATCCAATTGTATGAGTTCATTTTCATTTCCATCAAATACAAGTCAACCTAGAAATCTTCTGAGGTGTTTCTCAGTTTAGGCTAAATTGGTAAAATAATTCATATTTTCAACCCTATAATGTCAAATAAAAATTCTTTTCCCACGTATTCCGTGACACCCGACACCCATAAAACTGTTATTTAATAAATTTAAGGATGTTGAGAGCACATGAAACATATTTGGTGGGCATGGAATAGTCCCTAAAGGGTTTCTAGAATATTTAGAGCGAGTTAAGATAGTTTTTTCATGCTCAATGAATATTTTATTGATTTATCGGTGCATAAATAGTGACATTTTATATGAAATAATTATTTTAGGCATGATGAATGTGCATGAAAAGCTTCTTCTTCTTCTTCTTCTTCTTTTTTTTTTTTTTTTTTTTTTTTGCATAGAATATGTGCTAAAGGGGTGTTAGATTATTCGATGCTATTGGATAAATTTTTTGAAGTTTTATGATTATTTTTTGTGTACCTTACTCGTGCATAAATAGTGTTTTTGGGGTAAATTAATTAATTTGAGTGCTCTAAAGGTGTAAGAAAATTATCCAATTGATATAAAAAAATCATTTAGGATAAATTTTTTGAAGCTTTATGATTATTTTAAGTGTACCTTACTATGCACGAATAGTGTTTTTTGAGGTAAATTAATTAATTTGAGTGCTTTAAAAGTGTAAGAAAATTATCCAATTGATATAAAATAAATCATTTAGGATGTGTAGAAATATTCCATGAACTTAGATGAATTTTTCTATTCAAAGGGAATATTTTCTATAGAAATAAGTGTATTTTTACACAAAATAATAAATTTGAAGGCCTAAATAAGGTAGAAGAATTATGTGAATGATGATTAAATTCTTTTAGGAGGTTTTTGAATTTATTATGAAAAGAAATTGGATTTTGGAAAGGTATGGAATAAAATTTTAGAGTTAGGGACCTAATTGCATAAAATTAGACGTTTGAGCTTTCAAATTAAATCGAGTATGAACTTCGTGAATTCAAAAGTTGTTAAGAAAACCTTAAAGGAAGGACCTAAAGTAATTAACTGAATAATTGAGGGACTTATGGAGGAGTAATTAAAAGAAGGATTAATAAATTTAAGGACCAAAATTAAGCAAATTTTTCGGAGAAATTTCCACCTTTTGTCACCACTTTCAGCTCAATAATTAAGGTGTAATTAATGCATGCATAATTGGAAGGAATAGATTTAAATAGAGTGGTTAGATGGAAGGATAAAATTTAAAGAATAAATGAAAGGCTAAGAGTAAACCAATTGAAAGGCCAAGATTTAAAGATGAATTAAGGGCTAGGATTGCACCAAATTAAGGGTGGGGATTAAGTCAAAAGTTCACCAAATTTTGCCTATAAATATGGGTGCAAGACAATGAGAAAAATGGAAGGAAAATAGAAAAATACAAGGGAAACTTTTGAAAATTTTCCATAGAAATTCCATTCAAATTTCTCCTAACCACTCGATTAAGCAACGAATTCAAGCTAGAAGGTCAAGAATCATCAAGGGGAAAAATTGGAGTTTGGGCCGAAATATAGAGGAAGAAGAAATTGCAAGGAAATTCTACCTTTTAAAGGTTAATTAGAGCTTATTTGAGTAAGTTAATCTCATTTATACCATAAGAAATATTTAATTAATGTCAATTGATGGTTTGGTGCCCTAATTTTATATTTAATTACCTTAATTTTAAAAATTAAGATGAGGGTTCTTAGTTAGGAAAATTTGGGGAAAATAAATTTAAGCTGGAAATTCATGCAATTGAGTTCAAAATAGATTAATTGAGCTTGAAATTGACGAAGAAAAATAAAAAATTCCTTACGTTA